TTGTTTTGGATTGCGCGACGTATACTCGGACCTTGCCCCGACGTTGCGTGTGTTAGGGCTGCTCGAGCCTGCGGCCGGCTTGAAGCTGAATTTCGGGAGCTGTCAGATTATTATCACGCGTATCATTTCGATCGACCAAGCGAATACCTTCCTGGATAGCCGACCGCAGCGATACCGCTCTCTTCAGGTGCTGCGGCATACGAAGTACCTAGGAGTTGGGATAGGGCCCGAAGGGTGCATCCTTGCTTGGCGCGAGGCTCTTGAGAAATTCCACAGCCGCGTACGTACGCTCAGGAATGTCGGGCTCGGTCTGGTTACTACGACTGCGATGTTCTCTTCCGCCTGTCTCTCGGTGCTCTGCTACGTCTTGCAATTCTGCACACCGTCGAAGGAAGTATTCAGGGCGTACAATGCCAGTCTCCAGTTGTTTGCTGCTGCTGCCACTCGCTTCTCTTTCTCTAGCGAGATGCTGCGTGGCCGACGCACGCTTGGGCTATCCACTGAATTCCCGAGTCTGGTCCATTATGCTCGTGCCGTGCAGTTGCGCGCGCCCATCACTTGTCCATCATTTGCTCTTGCTAAAGGCCAGGCTTGTGAGTGTAGTCACTTGCCAGAATCTGTTCAATGGGAGGGCGGATGATGTCTGTATCGTACGTGCGTTGGGTGGGTGGTGGAGGGAGTCGTTATTGCATCATTTGTGTAGTCTGAACAATGACTGCGCGGAAATTGTCGAGTGCATCCCTGGGAGTTTCCCGAAGAAGAAGTTGCAGCGCCGTTTCTTTGCCGCACTTTGCTCGCAAGACCAGATTGACTTGGACAAGTGCCCAGAGTCTGGTCTGATGAAGAAAATATCCCCGTGGTTGCCGCCGCCCTGTCCTACCGCCGTCGCCCAGATGATTGGCAAGATTCGTTACGCGGTGAAACGCACGAAAATGTATATCGGTATCGCCCCTCTACGGATCGCGTGTCGTGGGATCTGCACCACTTCGCGCCTCCACTGTGCTTAGGGAGGCTATGTTTTTGGTTGCCCGAAAACTGATGACGAGAGGATAGATTTGGATGACATGCTGAATTATAGTGTTTGCCCTCGGCTGAAAGAAATCTTCAGACGGTGGCTGGGACAGGTTGTGGACTGTGACGACGCGATTCCCTTGCTCACTCTCCTCGCTCCCACGCTGTGTCCTACGGCTGTTCTGTGCGATGCATCTGTGCGCGAGGCCTCTTTGCACACCCACTCCCACAAACGAGTGGGCAGTACTATTGAGCCCGGTGCTCTTTTCAAAGCACAGATTCGGCTGCATTGCCGTAGACATCGTGCGCTACAGAAGGCCTGGGCACAAGATGGCTGCAGAGGGGAGTTTGTCGGTCTTACTGATCCTGGTTGAAAAAACATCAGCACCCTCATCGTCATCATCATCAGCATCGCCATCATCATCATCACCTCCACCACCACCACCATCATAATCATCATCATCATCATCACCATCATCATCATCACCGTCGTCATCATCATCATCGTCATCGTCGTCACAATACATCACCCGGCATCTCCCTGCGCCTCATTTTCATCATCATCGTAATCATCATAGTCATAACCACGGTCCGCATCATTATCACCAACTTCATCATCAACATCAACATTTACATCAACACCATCATCACCAACAGCATCAGCCGCATCATCATCACCAGCATCATCATCACCCTCATCATCAGCAGCATCACCATGGCATCCTCATCATCATCATCATCATCATCATCATCACCTTCACCACCACCATCACCATCATTATCACCATCAACACTATCATTCGCATCCAGCATTCTCACTTTCACTTCCACCTCCACCCGTCGACCTCCAGCGTCCAGCAGCGCAGCACTCCGACCTCCACCCTCCAGCAGCATGTGACTTACCACCTCCACCTCCACCCATCGACCTCCAGCGACCAGCAGCTCAGCACTCCGACCTCCACCCTCCAGCATCCGACTTTCCACCTCCACCTCCACCTGCCGACCACCCAGCACTCCGACTCCAGCATCCGGCCTACGACTCTCCACTTCCACCTGCACCACTTGACCTCCAGCGTCCACCAGCTCATAATTCAGCACCCCGACCTCGGCAAACAAGGACTACAAACACTGAGGGCCCCGGCCCCCCCGCGCAAGCCCTAAAGGGCCCCGCTTCCGGCGGAACCGCTCTCGCTCGCTCGCTCGCTCGCACTATCACCATTATCAAACCAGCATCGTCATCTTCATCATTTGGCTCGGACTCCTAACCAAACTCCGACTCTGGCTCCAACTCCAGGTCCGACGCCGGCACGACGCTGAGCAGCACGTAGGGTCCCAGCAGTACGTTGCTGGAAGCACGACCGACTCCAGGATCTCGGCTGTGTTTGACACGACGGAGCGCAGCATCGGCGAGTCCAACATCCAGGAGTACGGACACCAGCGGCACGACACTGGGCAGCACGACAGACTTCAGCAGTAAGACGCTCAGTGGCACGACGGGTATCAGCACAACGCTGAGCCGCTTGCCTTGTAACACCAATACGTCGCTGATCACTTTTCTTCGGAAATGGTGCTGCACCTACGACATCTCTGGCACCCGCTCTTGCTCCGACCCCGTCTTCAGCTCCTACTCCGGTTCCACCCCGACTCCAGCGCTCGCTCCGACTGCAGTTTTGACCCACATCCCATGCCGACTCCGGTATCGCTCCACCCCCGACTCCTGCTCCTGCCTTGTGGCGCACCGCTTTCATGACATCTGTCTGGCATTTGGCATACCGACTTCAGGACATTGGCCAGGCCTCTGGCGCACCGACTCAGGACTCGACTACAAACATTATCTACACGTCAGGTACACAGCCATTACAGCTACCACCGTCGAAAACATGCCGACTACGCGTTTCATGGTTGGGTCTGTTGCCTGATCCGATTTCGGTTCAGTCTCCTGCTAGGACGTCAGTTCCGACACTGGCCCCGATCGATTCCACTCCGACTCCGGCTCCGACGCCTTTTCGGATGTCTTTTCCGACGGATATGCAGGTTCTGAAGCTGACGACGTCGGCAATTTTGGACGCACGGCCCTATCCCACAGGCATGTTGATTAGGCCAACACCGATTCCAGCGCTAGTTCAGTAAATAACTTCTCCGACACACCCTCCGTCGCCTGCTCCATCTCCGACAGGTTCTCCGACTCCTGGTCTGGATACGGTCCGGTGACCACGCCAGCTCCTTCCTATTATCGATTCCGCTTCCAATTCCGGCTTCGGGTGCAGAATGGATTGAAAGTTTGGGTGTCTTAGGGGAGATTGCTGCTTGCCACAAGCCGGCGTCACGGATCGTTATGCGAGGGCTTTGTTAGACGACATGCCATGCCTATTTGCCACGCGTCCTTTACGGATGATGGATGACTATGGCATGCGCGTCCAACGCAATTTATTGCCAGTGCTTCGTGAAACAGGATGGACTGAGCAAATACTACCCCCCTTTGTATTCTGTCTACACATGCACGAAGGGCTGCGGCATTACAGCGGCTTGCAGCAGTTTGACGGCTGAAGCAGTACGGCATTATCGCTGCGAGTTGCAGGAGTGCGACGCTGAGCAGCGCGACGGCCACCAGCAGCACGACGGCCATCCGGAGTTCTCGTTTTGCAATGGTCTTGAATGAAATTATATGGGGTGGTGTCATGGCCATTCTCAGGGACACCGTGTTCATGTCCATCGGAGTCGCCTCCTGAGGTCACGATCCCTCGCCGCATTTGAGGTCTACCTGGGATTTTGCGTGGTACACTCCCTCCCCCCTCTCGTCTCTTTCCTCCCGCTCTCTCTGTCTCTCTCTCTCTCTCTCTTTCTCTGCACGCTGAAGTGTTCAGTGTGGTTTGCGTGCGGCCCAGCTCTGGGCGCGCACGTCAGCGGGGCGCTGGGGCCCCGCGCCACACAGCCACGCCGCTTCTCTTTGTTACTGAGGTTGGTGCGGGTGCGGTGCTGCACTCCTTGCGATACCTTGCCTTTTGTTGCACATGGTCTTCGGACTTGTGGAGCCTCGTGCTGTGAACAGGTCGCGGCCGGTGTGTTTGTGCCCTCTATCTGTCTCTCTCTCTCTCTCCTTCTCTCTCTCTCTCTCTCTCTCTATTTCAACTCTGTTTCTCTTTCTCTCGCTTCTCTTTCCCCGTTTTCATGTCTGTCGTTCACGCCTCTTCCCTGGCTCCCCTCCTTGCGCCTATCCAGGGGGTTGACGTTGTGTGTCTCTACAACTGTTTTGTTTTTGGCCGCAGTCTCCTTGTTCTCCTCCTCCGCCGCCGCCGCGTCCGTTGTGTGTTAATACGACCTTTTGGTTCGCATTGTCCTTGTGTCACCGTCGGGTTCGCGTGGGTAAACTACCTTAATTGAACGTCAGCATCATCACCGCCATCAGCTTCATCATCAGCATCAGCTTCATCATTATCATCATCACCATCATCAGCATCATCATCACCAGCATCACAATCATCATCATCATCATCATCATCATCATCATCATCATCATCATCATAATCATAATCATAATCAGCATCATCAGCATCATCAGCATCATCAGCATCGTCATCGTCATCATCGTCATCAACATCATCATCATTAGTTTCATCATCATCAGCATCATCATCGTCATCACCATTATCCTTTTTATTATTACCATCATCATCATCATCACAATACTCATCGTCACAATTTTCACCATCGTCACTATCGCCATCAGCACCATCGCCATCATCATCTTGATAGTATTAACCATGACGCTAATACTAACGTTACTCATCATCAGCATCATCATGTTCATCTTCATGTTCATCTTCATCTTCACCACCACTGTCACCGTCACCATCACCATCCTCCTCATCATCGTTTTATTGTTATCATTGTTCCTCTCCCATCCCTAGCCCCTCCTTCTCCCCCATCCCCCCTCCTGTTCTCCCCTCTCCTTCCCTCCCCCCCGGAGGAGCTGGGGGAGGGCTGGGCAGGGCCTGCTCCACCGCGACGTGAAGGCCGAGAACGTACTCCTCTGCACCGGCGGGGCGGGGACCTCGCGCAGTCCTCCCCCCCCCTCGCCCTGGATCTGCTGCTGCTGCTGCTGCTGCTGCTGCTCCATCTGCCCAGACCTCCTGCGACCTGTCCTTTTCAATCCATGTAACTGCCAGTTTCGGCGGGTAGAGCCTTTCACCCGGTCTCGGAGCCAGCAAAAGCGGACCCGGGCGAAAAGGAAGGGCTCGCAACCTCAGGGGCCGCGCATTGATAGCATTGCGTCGTCGGATGTTTGGGTGCCTCGTCACTGCTTCAGCAAGCTTGGCTCAAGGCTCAGGAGCCAGCTCGAGCAGCGCATGCAATAATGAGCAAGGGCTTCATCGCCCTTGGTAATGTATTCTGGCTCCCAGACGTGATGTCGAGCTCGCTGATGGCTGCAACTGCTCGGTACCCCATCACGCTCATGTTGGTTGGCCTGTCCATCTGTGTCGGTGCCGTTGACGTGCGCAGCTGTGATTGGGTGGATGGCCACCTGCAGGTGAAATGGCAGGCACCCGCAGGTACACCTTCTGATTACTACGAGATCCAGCTGTCCAGCACGTCAGAGGGCCAAGCTTTCGGGATCTTTTCCACTGCAGCCTTGTCAGCAGACATCGACTCCCTGTCGCCAAGCACGACCTACTGGGTTCGAGTGCGCGCGCACGCGTGAGGCACTCCAAGTCTCGGCCCTGGCACTTGGAGCAGTCCCGGCGCCGCCAGGGAATGTCGCACCGGTGCCGTTCCCGCGCCCGTGGCTTCAACGACGCGGACGGCACCTGGAGCCATGACGCTCGAGGTCATGCGCGAGTCGGAGTTCACGTACGACGTTGATTACCTCATGAACCACAACTCTGGGAGCCTGTTGGGAGATGTGTCGCTTCTCACTTTCTCCACCTACCAGGGCTGGCTGAATGTCACTATGCAGAACGCAACGTATACGCTGTTTTGTGTGGACATTGTGTCGACACGGATTCCCGACACTATCACCACAGGTGGAAACGATTCATTCGCGGATTATGCGTCCTGCAACGACAACGAAAATGCAACCGACCCGCAGTGCGAGTGTGACAATTCGATAGATCGCTGGGTCGGTGGACTGAACGTCGACAAATATTGCCGTCAGACTGACGGGTCGGCTTGCCACTCCTTCCGTGACCGAGATTGCCATTGCAATTGCACGACGTCTAGCTTGCAGTATTCCGCCACTTACACCGGTATGATGCCAGTGGTCTTTGGCGGACAACAAGTGCTTGGCGCTTGGTACTCACATCCAAAGGCCACCGAGTGTGCAGAGCACGAGGAGCTTAGGGAGCGTCGAAGCGATGGCACGGTGTGTACTTGGAAGCGGCGACCAGCTGCACGAGTGATGCGAGGCTGGCAGGTATTGGAGGCGGGCTGGAACGCGTCATCGGGTCCCATGCGCAGCGTGGATCCCGAGCAGGTTGCGCAGAACGCCGCCGTCGTCCGAAAGGTGCTTGCAAGTCAACCGATGTTTCCGTGGCAGTGCGGAGGCACTACTCAAGAAAGCGCCGTACTGTTAGTTTGAGGGCAGCGCTACGTGGAGCGTCGGAACATGGTTCTGTCCGCGCACGTGTGGAACAGCCAATCGAGCATGGTATCCAGTTGTTTTCAACGTTGTGACCTAGAACATGTGACATTTGGTTGTTCCGCAGGTATGACGCGAGGTCTCTGTTCGCCAATGCAGATTCACTTTGACTTGGATGTTACGGGACGGGATCCGGATTATTGTCCTTTTCTTTTTTGGTATTTGGCTTAAGGAACCACCAGAAATGACACGTCCAACCTGTTCGGCCACATTCCTAGTTTTGAACTGTGCTCTCCCTCCATCACCGACTTCATGCCCAGCTAAGTGATGCTGGCAGTGACAGACATCTTTTCCGGCACGAGCGTTAAACTCACCCGAGACGTACCCGACCCCTTCTCCAAGCAAGGTGACTATTAGCAAGAGTGCTCTTTACAAACGGCCGCATTGACAGATACGCGGCACTCCTGCGCACGAAGATACCGACAGTTAAGCAGTTGGCAGCCTCGCTGAGAGCCGCGATGTCTCCTCTGGGTGCGCGTTCCCCCCGACTCCACTGGACATCCCAGGAGCCCACGAGAGTGGCGACAGGTGCGCAGTTCGCAGCCTCCCATAGAATAGAGCAGGAAGGTCTCGCCTGAGTACGTGTGGCCCCCGACTCCGCTGGACCTCCCAGGAGCCCACGAAAGTGATGACAGCTGCGCAATTCGCCGCCACCCAGGGAACAGCGAGGTCTCGTCTTAGTGCGCTCAGCCCCCGACTCCCCTGGGCCTCCCAGGAGTCCACGAACGTTTCGGCAATTGCGCAATTCGCAGCCACCCAGGGAGCAGCGATGTCTCAAATGGATGCTCGCTGCCCTCACCTCCACCGTGACTCCCAGGCACCCACGAAAGTGGAGACAGTTGCGCAGTTCGCAGCACCAGTGGGAGCAGCGAGGTCTCACATGGATCCCAGCTGCCCTCACCTCCGGCGTGCCTCCCAGGAGCCCACGAAAGTGGCGACATGTGCGCAGTTCGCAGCCACCTACAGAGCAGCGCAGGAGGAGGAGGAGGAGGAGGAGGAGGAGGCAGACTGCAGGAGGAGCGAGGCAGGAGGCGGGGGTAGGAGAAGGAGAAGGAGCGGATATCACAGGTGCTCTCTTCAAAACAAGAACCCAACACGAGAGGGTCGGGGAAACAACACGCATGCTACAACCACCTTGTGGCCACCTTTGGTATGGTCGTGCTGAGGTCAACCACTCGATCGCCTCTTCTTGTGCGACGCTCTCCCCACAAAGCAAAGCCGTTCTAGGTTCACCAGTCACGCGCCGCCTGATACGAGCGATTCTGCAAGGGCGCTTCACGGTGAGGCAAGGGCAGGGATACGCACAGAGAGATGGGCACGGATAGGGGCAGGCATGTGGTGGTGCGCTAGGTGTCAAGGTGAGCGTCTCTGTTTGGTACAGCGAGCCGTCCTCGGAACAGCCCCCGTGCAGCCACTTCTGCTTCTGCCGCAGCCGCTGGATGCAGAGGGATGGTGCCGCCGTGCCTGTGGACAAGTGCGCCCCCGCCGTGCTGCGATGGGCGAGCGAGTACAGCGCCTGCTTGTTCGAGCATGTGATCGTTTCTGTTGTCCCTTGCTTTGCCGATCGGCGCGGGCCCCCGCCCCTCCCCCCCCCCCCATGGAGTAGATCTTGGCTGTTTTTGGCGCCTGTGTGGAGCAGGTGGGGTTCCTCCCCCGTCGGCCGCACTGCTGCACGCAGTCGCGCTAAGCAGAGGTCCGGAGCCAGACCCCCCCCCTCCCTCCCTCCCTCCCTTTCCGCCCAAGGTCGAAACGCCGAATAGAAAAACGCTCACCATGTGGAGCCAGAGCTTCAAGCGCGTCGTCGAATCTGAATGTGACGAGCCCGTCCAGGACCTTGCAGGCCTGCCGGGAGGCCTCCTGCCCAGGCCCGCGCGCCGTTCAAGCAGCGCCTTGCAGGCCCTCTCCTGGAGCACGCTCTGGCCAGCAGTTCGAGGCGAAGACGGCCGTAGCGACAAGGGCGCTCCCCTCCTGAAAGTCCCAGAAAGCTGAGGAACAGCTCCTCTTCACCCCCTCCTTCAGGGAACAGAAAAGGGCATGCACGTACATGTTCGAAGCTCCGCGCGGATTTCTTGGATCGGCGCTGGGACCCCCGTCTTCCTCTTCCTTGTCCTGGCCCTGCCCTGCGAAGTCTTCCCCGTCTTGCTGGATTTAGTCTTGTGGAAGCTCCTGCTGGGAGAGCTTCATAGGGGCGGCTCACGAAAGCTTTTCAGGGGCTTCTCGGAGGGCCCTAGAAGCCTCCTGGGCGGACTGTGGAAGCCTCTGGGCCGTCTGGGGGCTCTCTCGGACTGATTTGCATTTCTCTTTTTGCGATGCTGTACACTGCTGTGCATGTACTTTCAGTGTTTTGCATTGCTTTGCGTTGCGCTGCTTTACGTTGCAGAGCACGGCATTGCTTTGCATTGCTTTGCGATCGTTGTTGGTGGTTTTCTTTTTCCCCGACCTGGCGGAGGGGTTCCCGTTGTGTGTCCCCCTGGGGGGGTCTGGGGGGGGACCCCCCCGGACAGGGCCCCGGCCACGGGCGGAACGCCGGCGGAAGACGGCCGAACACGGCACCATGCTGCACCATTTTTGTAGACGCGCTTCCGGGAGGCACGTACGGCCCCAAGATGATCCACAAGACGGTCCAAGAGGGCCTCGAGTCGCCGAAAGATCGGCCCAAGACGCCCAAGGAGCCCCCAAAACGGTCCAGGAGGCCTCCAAGAGGCTCTCCAGGAGAGCCCCAAGAGTCAAAATTCATTACTTTTCCATAGGTTTTTCGACGTTTTTCGTGTTCTCGCCTGTTCGGCTTCCCGCACTCCAAGACGGCCCAAGAGGCCCCAAAGATCGCTCCAAGACGGCGTAAGCGGCCCCCAAGAGAGCGCCCAGACGGCCCAAAAAGCCCCCAAAACGGCCCAAGTCGCCTCCGAGACGGCCTCAGAAGGTGCCAGGAACGCCCCAAGAGAGTCCCCAGGGGGGAGGCAGGCACCGACATTTCGGGCTCCCCGCCCGAAGAGACCCCCAGGAGGCCCCGAAGAGGCCTCCAAGAGGCTTCAAGACGCCTCCAGGAAGCCCCCAGAAGCCTCCAGGAAGCCCCCAGAAGCGCCCAAGAGGGTCCCGACACTGCCTCAAGAGACCCAAGACGGCTCCAAGAGAGGCCCAAGAGAGGGACCACGAACCGAAAATTCCAGCTCTCCGCCTTAAGAGGCCCACAGAAGGCCCCAAGAAACCCCCAAGAGGCCCAAATGAGGCCCCAAAGCTGCTCCCGATACGCTTCAAAACAGCTTTCCAGAGGCCCCCGAGAGGCCAACCGCGATTACACTGCTTTCTTCGTCGGACGCTTTCCCTGTCCAGGAGTCTATGAGATACCTAAGGAATAGGCCACTTTGGCCATACAGTAGGCTACCTTACCAGACAGCCTACCACACAGCGCACCTTGCGAGTACGTGCGTCGACGAACCCCGTCAGACGGAGTTTGGCCACGACCGCTCCCGCTGGGACCGGTCTTGGGGCGCCCTTGGTGCTTTGTTGAAGCCATACCTGGCCCTCCCTGGTTGCCTTGGGGAGACCCACGTGAGCCCGTGGAGGTCCCCAAGACGCCCACAGGTCCCCAAATTTGCCTCTCTCGCCCTGTGCCAGCAAGGCATATTGATGTACACGGTTTTGACTCCGACCGCCTCGCCGACGTCCACGACGACGACGAAAACGCCAACGACGACGACGACGACGACAGGCGGAGTCAAAACTGTGTACATCAATCGTCGCTGGTCGTCGTCGTCCTCGTCGTCGACGTCGTCGGCACCTGCCTGTCTTGCCCTGTGCCAGCGGAGCAAATGAATGTACACAGTTTTGACTCCGGCCGCCTCGCCGACGCCCACGACGACGACGACGACGAGACGACGACGACGACGACGACGACGACGACGACGAGTCAAAACTGTGTACATCAATCGTCGCGGATCGTCGTCGTCTTCGTCGTCCTCGTCGGCGTCGTCTCCGGCACCTGCCTCTCTCGCCCTGTGCCAACGGGGCACATTGATGTACACAGTTTTGTTTCCGGCCGCCCCGCCGACGTCGAAGACGCCGACGACGACGACGACGACGACGACGACGACGACGACGACGACGACGACGACGACGACGACGACGACGACGACGACGACGACGACGACGTCGGCGACGACGACGACGACGACGACGACGACGACGACGGCCGGAGTCAAAACTGTGTACATCAATATGCCCCGCTGGCACAGGGCGAGAGAGGCAGGTGCCGGAGACGACGCCGACGAGGACGACGAAGACGACGACGATGGGTAGAGAGGGGCCCTATGATGAAGTAAGGTGGCGGAGGAAGGCGAGGAGGAGAAGGATGAGGACCAAAAGGAGGGAGGAGGAAAAGGAGGAGGAGGAGGAGGAGGAGCGAAGACAGGGAGTTGATTCTGATCTCTTGCCCCCCTGGCTCTTTAGGAAGTCCCTTTCGCTGGACTGGAGTCGAAACTGTGCACTGACTTCGGGCTCAGATGCAGTCGGGCCCATAATGCGCCCCTCTGTCGAGGTCTTCCTTCCGTTTCCCGTCTTCAGGGAGGCCCCGACTGAGCGACGAGGGCATTTGCAGATCATAGTATGTCTTAGGTTTCGTGCCTCTCCCACCCCTCCAAGGAGGCTCAGCCAGAGCGGGGAGGCAATCGGCATGAGGCGTACCATGTTATTGGTCAGGATTCGTGCCCTTTCTCCTCCTCCAGGGAGGCCCCGCCAGAGCGAGTACGGCGAAGGTGTTTTCCGTAAGCCCACGAGTCAATCAAAGTTTGCCACGTATGGCCGGGAGGGGCTTTCCCGCAATTGACGACCATCACTTTGTATGCTCCACTCCAATTACACATGTGTACTTCCATTCTTCGCTTGTCAGTGCACATCTCACAGGAATGGTGGTCGTTGGCCAGCGGCCTCTGGCCCTCCCCAGG